CCCGCGTACGATGGTCGGGCCAGAAGTGAATATTACGTGGAATATTTGATATGCAATTACAGCCTGATGCAATAATTGTTTATTACAAATTGTTTATTACAAAATGATTATTTATACAAAAATCCAAAATACAAAATTAGTAATCTGTAACGGTATGATATAGTTCAAAGCATTCCGGTACATGTAACGGAACTTTACACTTTTTACACTCCCATGTTGTTTCTTTACGTTTTTTATGTTTGTGACAAACTGTACAACGTTTTGACGGTCTTGATTTAGAGGGTGTTGGATCAATGTGCTTTGGCCCGATCAGCGTGTTACACAAGTCGTGCGAATGACCCGAACGCTGCGCGAGCTTGTATACGATTTCGGCCCAACATCTTCGAATCTAAATCGTAGGTTAAGGGGTTAAAGTTGAATTTTGTAACAAAAAAAAATATTTACCATTAGTCTGCAATACCAGCTCCATAAAGCTGACTTTCTACAGCAATATTTTCCTCATCTTTTGATTTTCTAACCGATAGTATGTTGGAGCGCGCAATGTTTGCTACTTCGCTCATTGATCGTTCAGCCTGATCGACTGGCAAAGCATCAATTTCTGAGCAAAAATTATAGCAGTTCGGTCCTATTGGCAAGTTTAAGACTTTCATAATGTTCATAACACTACTGATACCATCGTTAAATGTACAAACAGCAATATCTGTAGTTATATCTAAAACTACTTTACCGCTAGAAAAGTTTTTAAGTGCCAAGTTCCAGACCGTAGAATTAAAACTTTCATTACTGTTTTGAGTGTAAGCTCCCAAACAACCAGTAAGTAAATCATCGTTTGTTAATTCTTCATAAATGGGTTGAATAGCTTTAAAAACTTCCTCATTTAGCGGTTTCTTATGGCTGTAAGAAGCAAGAGTATTCTTAGCTTTTGCACTCTGCCACGTACACCATGAATCAGCATCAGACGGGCATCGATCGTGTTGCGGTTTTTCGTCGGTTGAAAGTTTATGGTAAAGAGTAGCCCATATTTCTTTTTTCATGTTGTTAATATTGTCTGAGTTTCTTCTTATTGCTAATCCATAGTACAAACTGAGTTCGTCAATTAATTTACCGGTAAGCTTTCCTGCGCCGCCAATTCCTTTAGTTTTTTTTTTAATTACGTAGTCTTGAACCCATTCTTTTCTGGACGTGTCCAAGACACTCTTTTTTTTTACAATCTGATCTCCATAAGGTTGTGCATCCACAATTCCCTTATAAGTTTTACTGTCATCGTCGCCGATGTACGAGACATACTTAACCTAACCTTAGTGATTAGATTTACTAGTTTCTTTATACGTAATATACCACTCATCATACTCTGTAGTATCTTCCTGCCTTTTCCAGTTATCACATGCCTTACAATATTTTGATTTTACTTCAACATCTATAACTTTTCTTGTGAACCATCCGATTAG